AATGGTGATCTCTAGTAGCTCTGTGCCTGCGACCTTTCCCAATTGCGCAGAATGCGTATGGCTTGAGATATCTTCTATCTGCTCTTTCAAGCTTTTGACGGTCTGCTCGTGTTCCTGGATCTCCATGTGCCTGTAATGCATTGATTCGGAGTTCTCTTCCAGGTATCGATCAAGGTGGATTATCGGGGGCACAGAAACACCGAGCCCATCTAACTGACTACTGGACTGTTTCTGACGGATGTCGATGCATATGATATCAGAAGCTTGTCTAACAAAGGCTCGACGATCAGCTGAGGGCCAGAGAGCAGAGTTCAACTTTTCGTAGATATTATGGATAGCACCATCAAGTTCCAGGAGGAAGCAGATGTCATCTTCAAAGTCGCTTTCTCGGCCCTTTGTTGTATAGATGACTCTTGTCGTAAACAGATTGCGTCTCGCAGGATCAGGCTTGATCTTTTCGGCAATACTGAGCCACTCGTCTAATGCTTTGGCATATTCTCCCTTTGTGCTCTCGCGAGAGTCAAGGATTTCGGCCAAATACCTGGGTCTCGCATATTTTCTTTGGGTCTCGTCGAGAAAAGCCATCAGGCGCTGCATTTCCAAGATTATATCGAAATCCTGCTTGCTCAAATTTGGCGTGTCCTCCATGACCACGCCCTGATTGATTTCATCGCCCTGATACCATGTTGCTAGCTGACCCAAGTCCCCTTGCTGATAAGAGGGAAATATAAGCGCATTACGGGCTGCTGGTATACTGTGTAGGATTGTAATCAGACCAGGCTTGAACCCCTTCTCTCTCCTTGAAATCGGAGAAAGCGTCGCCGGAGCTCCTTCACTTCTCTTTCTTTCGAATGGATCTTCTGGATGATCGGCAATCTCTATAGCTGATTCGGTAGTCCCGACTCTAGTCAATGCCCATTTTGACTCATCATACTGAGCTCGTGTCGCAGGACCGAAATAGGTCTGACCAGGCAAGTCAACAACTCCACTTTGCTGTGGAAGCGTGACTGGCCCAGGATCCTGCCCTAATGATATTTTTGTAGCTCTTTGCACATCCCAATCCTCCTGACTCATTGGAGTATACTGACTTGCCTCTCGTGTGCTTCCATTGTTACTCCGATGACTGACCCGAGATGGAGGTCGAGAGGGCGCAGCGTTTGGTTGGAGGAACTCGCCGAAGGCTGATGTAGCAAGTGATCAGAGCCATACTTCGCAGTGCAACTCAAAGATTATAGCTCCTGGCCCACTTACCGGGCTGAGCTTCCTCCTGCGCGTGACCGGCATTGTCTGTAGTCCAGGCAGACTCGTTCCATGAACTATCAACGGAGTTTTCCTCTGGTAGGCGAATCTGAGAAAGTCAAGGATCATCAGAAAGCACCAATATTGAGAAGGAACTTTGGAGCGACAAGCTTACGTTGTCTAGAATTGCACTAATGGCTCGTTCGGCATTCCCGTCATAATGCTATAGATGCAGACACTCGGATTTAGCAAAAGGAATCAAGCGCGCGCGGATGGATCATACGAAAACATACCTTAAGATATCGGACGACAGTGTCTTCGTCTGCGGCCGTGAAATCCTTTACTTGGTCGATGTGGTCCTGCGAGAGGCCCACTGACTCCATGGGTATTGCTAAGGTCACCTAAGTATTTGGGAGTCTCCGGTTTCACCACAGATATCCCAAAGATTAAGCATGGAGAAGAGCGTGAAGAGTGCGACCACTTTCACTGAGTATGATTCGTGTTTCCACTGTGGCCGTGTAGTATTGACGTGTCGTGTCGTACACGATTGTAAAATGACCATAGTAAGGTTGAGAGCTCTTTGAGCTGTACTTATGACGTGCATGCTCCATGCTACTCACCACCGGGGAACTACCTAACCACCCCCCGCCACAGCTGGGTCAAACACCTCCGTCCCTGCTTGTTTACTTATCTATCATCTGCAAAAAATAATGACATCAGAGGGCTAGATTCTTGAGTGAAGCCTTCCAGTCGTATTTCACTACTTCTACTGGGAGATAGGTGGGTACTCAAAATCAGCGTCACGCTGAGGCCCCTAGTCTTAGACTCACAAAGAGAGGCTACATAATGAGAAACGCCGTCAATGCGCCATTAGATGCAGAGTATGCCGCCGAAAATGCTGCCCAATCTTGTCCTGGCGCCATGCTTAAGCCAACAAAAAACAAACAGACTAGGAGAATGACAAATTGAGCACCATGCAAAGAACAGGAGATATGCGATGTAAAGACGTGACGTAAAGATCCTCCGATCCCAGCAGAACAGCGATTATTGATCAAGTCTGCAAATCATGGTACCAGCTAGGGGTCAAGAGTGGGTTTGGCCATGACTTGACAGAAGACGAGTGAAACCGGACGCAACGTTAATATGCGGCCCTCAATGATGTTCAGTGGTGCTCTTCTGCTTCTTCTTGGTCACCTTCAGTATCTTCATCCTCATCTTCGTCAAACGGCATGTCCTCATCCGAGTCGCTGCCTCCAAAATCATCCTCTTCATCCGAATCTTCCCAGCTCATCAGGATTTCTTCTTCCTGCTTTGTCTTGAATGCGTCATCATGACTCGGCATCACATAACCTTCAGGAATGTCCCGCTTCGATGCTTCCAAATCCGCTTTGACGCGCTCCTTGTATTCCTCAGGGTTCTTGCGAAGCATCACGCCAGCATCGACATTTGCTGGTGAGCTGACTTCGGCGTCGTCGAGGAGTGAAAGTATAGAGATCAGTACCGACTCGACGCGCTGAGCCGGAGACCAGCGCTCAGCCGCAAGCTCGCCTGACATCTCGTCCTCACCCGGAGCATGTAGGATCGAAATGCATAACCGTCCGTCGGGGTAGACATTTGGGTGATAGAGGGGCCGGGTGAACCTGAAGTCTGGTGGGCTGTAGGGATAATTCTTTGGAAAATTCATTATTGCCCTAAAGTACCCCCGATAATATAGTGAGTCTGGGTTGAGCACGATGAGGGCTATACTCCATCGGTAGATATCATCATCTATGAGTTGAATATTGGTCCATGGTTCTTTAGATAGGGTCTTGTACTCATTCATCAGAACACGTTCCGCCATGATCGCGTCTCGGTGAAAGTTCCAAAGTGGTGTTCTGGAAGTCTAGATCCAAAGACAAAGATATCAATCCTTATCCGATGGGGTCCTGATGATGAGGTCGGAGTAGTGGGTCAAGACGTAAATTTTGTTGGTTTGCTTGATGTGCTATGAACAGTAAATTTGGTATGTTGAGCAGTTGAACCAGGCAAAAGGACAGTTTCCGGCGAAGTAAAAGAGGCGTATTATAAACTGGTGGCAGTGACGAGGCGTGAGAAGGAGTTCAAAGGCTAAGTTCTCGTGATTCTTGCTGAATCACAGCCCAAGCAAGGCCAAGTCATGCGAGTCGGAACTCGGCCGCTTTCGGCAAGACAAGTGAGAATACTCACGTGCCATGCCTTGGCCATTTATTCTCCATAAGAACCAAGGTTAGGTACCTTACATGTTCCTAGTCTTCTCCGTTGCTGACTCCGTGGAAGGCGTTTCTTCGCAACAGCGTTGCTGATTCGACTGGAATGCAACATATTTGATGGCATTCATCCTGCGCTAACTCCTTCATCCGGTTTGACCCTCAGTCGTGACCTGAGAGGACGTGTGAAGATTGAATAAGGGAGCAGCGCATGGACTCAGAGATGAAACAATTCTACCCATTTCCAGATTCTGAGATTCTATCACAAGTATTAGCCGGTAAGGCATCACCAAGCTTACCAAGAGTCGCTTCATTTGTGATGGTATATGTGGCGCGATAAGCTGCTCGTTTGAGATCTCTCATTTTGGCCCTCGTCTGGATCTTTAGGTGGGTCTTGATTCCAGCGCTTCATGATCTCAGAGAACGCCAAACAACCCTTTCCTGGGACTTCACTTTCATATAAACAAGCGCCTATTTCAGGTTTGATATCGTACCTACTGTGTACGGCCCAGCGTTGCTCTTTGGTTCTTTCTCTTAGTAGATTTGGATGTCCTGAGCGAATTTCCGAATTTGCTCCGTTCTCACTTTTAGACCTTTCTACAAGCTAACCATCGCAATCATGCTAGTCTCATTATTTACTACATACTTCTATTCAAGAATGTGAACCACGTCGTTTTGGGTGAGCCGGATGACCTTTCGTCAACTACTTCGTCTGTTGTCTCGTTTGCTCCTTACGTTCGCGAAAGGAAGCTTAGTAGCGGAACTGCTTTAGGAGTCATTTCGTGTTGGTGGAGTCTTATTTCCTTCTTTGAATGAGATATCTCGTCGTGCTGTGGGGCTTTCGTAGTCAGAAATTTGTGGTAAAGAACTTCCTGGCAATCCGTGTTGCAAGTTGCCTGTATTCCGTTCCAATCTACCACCCTTGAAATAGGGATGTCTACTGAACCGCCATCTTCCGTGCTTTTTTCCGAGAGGCACCGTTGTCCAGTCAGTATTAGAGAGACAGCAGTCGGCGTGCTAGCAATTTGTTACACGAGGACGGTGACCCTAGGCAGTTTTTTCGCCGTGACTCTTTGTTATTTGAGACAGAAAAGATAAAGTTGAGAGTTACTATCACTATACTAGCGAGAGTCTTTTGGAGAAAGGAAAAGGGGGAAATGCATGGGAGAACCTCGAATGTTGAACGTACCTTACGCTTTGTTTCTTCTACCCGGAAGCGGTTCGCCTGTTGGATGTGGTTAGAGTATCTGGACGATAGCTAATCGCGCTGTCTTGAGTCTCATAGCAAAGCTTCTTCCGGCGGATATCCAAACAGGAAGCCAATGAGTAATTGACCTTTCAGCACTTTGGTTCGAGGAATAACTTTGAAGTGGACTTAGCCAGGTCGAAACAAGCTAGGGGGGATATCACTTCGTTTTCGGACAAGTAAGCTATCTGATCTCACCAGGTAGAACTTTGAAAGGGCGACGTAAGTCTAGTTTGAGACCATTATAGAGATAATATATTGCACAATATAAGGTTCCCATGACATATTGCGCATCGATAGGCCAGTGGTAGACTGCAAGCTTCCCATGCTTGCGCCCCGGGTTCGATTCCCGGTCGATGCAATTATTGTCCATTATATTCGGAAATCTTTTTTTTTCTTTTTGTTTTTCCTTTTTTTTATGCAGTCGCTATATCTGGAAATGACTCTCACATTGATACGTCTTACTGTATTCGTTGGAAGCGGGAGGCTGGTCGCCGCTGTGTGGTGAGATTTGTGACTTAGACACATCTCGCAGCAGGCCTCCCCACTGTGATGTCAACCTGAATGCTGAGAGTCTCTTACCTTCCTCGAAGCTAATGCAAACAGGATGTCCAAAGAAGCTAAAATACAAAAGACCATTGCGCGCCAGCAAGCAAAGTACGCTCTACCCAATTATTGGTCGCATATTAATATCCATGAAATTTCAGTACTAACAAAGCAAATTGATAGGATAGAAGAAGGCCAGTTTTACGAAGCCCATCAGCAACTGCGCGTCCTTGCCGCAAGGTATATAAAAGCACAAGATTGGAATGCAGCAGTCGATCTTCTATCTAGGGGTGCTGCCCTGCTGCTCGACGCAGGACAGGGTGCTTCTGGAGGCGATTTATGCATCTACCTGATGGAAGTGTATGGAAAGGCAGAAATCAAGCCAGATGGTGGGAGTCGGGATCGGCTGTTGGGACTTGTCCGGAAGATGAAGAGAGGTGAACCTATGAAGAGGCGTTTTGTGGGTGAGATGATCGGGTGAGTAGGCTCTGAGTCCTCATGATTACAGCAAATCCACATAAAGGCTTGCATAAAGGCGTTGTATAGGGAACAAAGTTATTATTACTAAATTTAAGGGAGCCTGACTGACAGTCATCCCAGCTGGTCATCGAAATTTGGCGACTTCCCAGCTGGCGATCCTGAGCTTCACCACGTTGCAGGAACCATATTTGCAGACGGTTTGTTATTGTTCCGACTATCATGCCATACATTGCTCGCTGATTCGATCAATCCCAAGATCATGAACCTTACGATGCAGAGCACCACCTGACACTTGGTACGCGCGACTCTTCATCCGTTCTTACGAATCTGGAGTACAACTGGTATGTCCTAACTGGCGAACCTCATACTGCTCCTCTTTTTGCCGCCCGTGCCATCTTTCCATATCTTCTGGTTGGAAATGTCCGTGCTGCAAATCAATGCTATCTTCTATTCGCCTCTCAGCTCTCGTCCTCCAATCCTGGTCTTGCTGTTCAAGAAGTCAACTCGGGTCCAATCACGACATTCTCTACCGACAAAAGCACTTCGCCCCCACAGCCGTCAACATCGTCCAAACCCCCGAATCTCGAGTTTCGCGTCCACGCTTCCCTACCACTCCTAAATTTCCTCGGTCTTCTTATACTCGCCGTTCAGCGTGGCGCGCCCGAGCTATTCCGCACCCTCAAGACACATTACAAAGAGCAGTTGAAGGAGCTCGACGGTGCTTGGGATGAAGCGCTAGCGCAGGTCGGAGAGATGTACTTTGGGATAAGGATACCAAGCCAGAATAATCCCTTAATGGATATGATGGGTAGCTTTTTGATGGGTGGTAATGTGCCGAAGAAGCAAGGACAACAAGGTGGGAGGCGGATAGAAGGAAGGTCTAGCCCTGCGCCGCCTGCGCCGGCGGTTGATTGACGTAGAGGCAGCTCCAGAACGGAAGAATAATTGCCGACAATGGGTAGAGCGATACTACCGTGTGGTATATTCCAATGCTTGACCACCAGAAACAAGTGATAGAAATGGTACGGAGGACTTATGCAACAAGACTGCTAGGAGCCGTGCCGTGAAACCCTTGAATATTAGGTCATGGTGAATGAGGACCAAATCTTTGCCAGGCACCATATCAAGTCGGAAGTCCTGTTACAACAGAATAGCTCATTGGGTGTGCTCTCTTGTTGCGTCTTCCGATTCGAACATCCAGTTGTCATCGTCAAGTGAATTAGTCTTTTCCCGAAGGTATGCCATGTTAGCTATATGCATTTCTGCCCTATATTAGTTTTACACAGTTGAACAGCCGCAAATACATACCGGTAAGATCAAGTTGTTGTCCCCTCTGGCTTCGATATAACTCTAACAATCCCCGATCCCTCTCTATGGCATCATAGTTAGCCTGAGTTTCATCTGGATCGCGTCTGGGTTGCAGTGACACTTGACGCACGTCTTCTATCTTCCTCCGTTTCTATCCCCCCGCATATCCGTTCTCCATCCAGAACTATATCCTGAAAGACCTGTCCGCCAACAGTGAGAAAGCTCTCGTATTGTCCATTGGCATCTCTTTTGACGATTTCATGGCCCTCGAGCACCACATCACCTTCCCTCCTACCTTTGGTTTCTGTCCCACCAGCGGTATCTTTCCGTCTATGCCTACCAGTCACGCTCCCATCTTCGGTATTACGACTTCCCCGCACAATAGCATCCCTTGTGGATGAGGGGTCTGTTGTAGCTGGATTTGAGCTACTGCCGTGAATCCGACCAGCTCGAAGAGCTTTTTGATAAAAGGCGTTCCCCTTTCGGCGCTGATCTTCGGGAGACGGAGGAGGAAGAGCGGGGATGACAGCAGTTGCTTGTCGAGAAGGGTGATGAATCGTGGATGCCATAGATGTGCTGGAGTTGGGCCGATGCTGCGGAACGGAGGGAGCGGGTCTATGTTCGTGGAGAGATTGATTTGAGGTGGCATTAGTACGCGAGGAAGGCCGAGCTGTGTTGGAATTACGCGATGTCATCGGATGGATTTAGATAGTAGTGCCCTAAGTGAGAGTCGTTTGAGTGATTTGCAACAATGTTGATAATTGTGAAGAGGACCGGGGTCGCTGCTACTGTTGTCTGCACTGTTTTTCATTTGATCTCGAAAGTACTGTAGGATATGGGTAGGTAAAAACAACAACCACGATCATTACCTAGATAGGCTAGATTTCCGCTACCTAAGGCTAAAAGCAGTAATCCAAGTCACCGACCCAATCTCAGCTTAATCTAGGCTAAAGCTGCATAATTTCTTATTAGGCCCACACAGGCTTAGGTAGCTCAAGTTAGGCTCAGGCCTGCTCAAGCGTTGCTCAGATCTACTCAGGCATCGACCAGGTCTACTCGGTCCCTTCTTCATATTGGTTTAATTTTACGGCCTTATATCTTGCAAAGAGCGTCGATGGCATGCATAGGAACAAGGGCCTATATCAAATTATCTCAACTTTACAGTCTGAGAGATAGGTTTTTGTTTCTCACTGGACGTATCGGTTTTGGTCTGGCTGGAGGTAATATCCGACGTGGATCCAAGAAGAGGCCTACCATTGTCCGCACAGTGAGCATGAGCGCGGTTCATGCCAGATCAGTGAACGGAGCGAATTTCCCAGTAGGCCACTAAAGTCAATCAACCCAAGTCGATTATGTAGAGCGTGTGGATGTCATTCCTCCCTCTGCAAAGCCGCCAGTGGCCACTACTAGTTAGGGGTAGGTATGTATGACGGTCACCAGCGGCTCAGGATACTGCGTTGAGGAGAATTTTGCGGTAAAGCATAAGGTACACCAAATTCTCTGCCACATTAGCTCAAAACCCATTTTCGCTGACTTTGGTTAGTAAAGCTCTGCTCGAGAGGCATACAGGCAAGCCATCGGCCGTACGAGGTCGCGAACTGATCAAAAGACTGCACTACATTTTCTATCACCGCGGTTCAGGATTCTTCACTCCAAGATCGGCCAGTAAAGCTACGATCTACAGTGCCGAAAAGGTCGCAGATGGCACGAACAATGGTAGTAAGAAATTGGCGCAGTTCATGAAAGCCTTTGCCAAATCTTGCGCTGCAGCAGGCGAGAGGCTTGACATGAAAGTGAAAGAGAGGGACGATGTTCCGGGATCCAGGGTAGCCAGTCGTCCTATGTACAACCATGGTTGGGATGAGACTGCCCAAATAGGGGGTATCGATTCTAGCCCTAGGTAGGAATCTGCCGCAGAGTGATAGCTCCTGCACCTTCTAATATCGTACCAGGGCTTCCCTTGGGTATTAATGTCAAGACTCTTCTGAGCAGTCCTCATTCAGCAACAGAATCAAACCTCCCTACTCCACAAACTAGTGCTCGAGAGAAATTTCACCATCAAGAACTCTATTCTTCAACAGCACCTCTTACAAGATGACCTCGAAGGACGTCGTAGCCTACAACACGCTCCCGTCCCTCCGCCAAGCCGCTGCAAGGATGGATGAGAAGACAAGGGCCCTTCTCTTTGGAGACATACGGAACCTCTTCCTCGAATCCGGAGTGAACGACATGTACGGTCTTTGTTTGCTACACAAGCACTTCCCAATCGACGACTCGGAACGGCTCGTTGAGTATGGCCACACATCTACGCCCTGGAGAAAACCAGATGATGGGGGTGATACCAAATACGGGGGGGCTATTGCCGCCCGTTCGTGGCGATCGGTTGAGGGAATAATGATCCCGTATGAGTTCTTCTATTCGGATGTTGCCCCAAGCTACAACACGGCATTCGCGGCCAAGTTGTCCATTCTCTTGCATGAGCTCGGTGTCCAGGAAACATTTGGTCTACGTTATCTGGGCGGACATGACTCTGCTTTATCGATGGAAATTACAGAGGGAAGGGCAAATATCATGATGCCGCGTGGGGCGATTCCTGACTCGGAGGTAATCGATGCTCTTTGGATTTTCGGCGTTGACGAGGATGACCGCTGCAACTGCGGAGAGGTCTGCTTCAAGACTAGCAGTGGTCATGATAGGGACCACAAATGTGGGTGATCGTGAGGACAGAGAAAACATGGAGAGGAAGCTATAGTACACACTCGTTTCAGTTTGTTTTCTAGTCTTGGATTCCAATAGTCATAGAGGTACTCATTCATTTACTTTTGGCGGCTCTCAACATGCTCGTGAACGTGCCTTGCGCAGTCCGAACTGCTCCGACCGCTGTGTAGCCAAACTTTGCATACAAATGAACTGCAGCTGGGGAAGCCATCACAAAAGAAACGTATCCGTGCTCATCAGCCCGCCGACAGCCCCAATCCAAGAGTAAAGAGGCAGCACCTTGTCTTTGATAGGTAGGATTTACTGAGA